CCCCCGCCCCTCGGACGCGCCGGCTGCCAAGAGGAGCTCGAGCCGTCCCACCGTGTTCTTTATGCCCTCCTCCCCTTCCCACGGCGCTCGGGCCTCCATGCCGCGGTCCCCCGGCAGCCCTGGGCAGCCTCCGTTGTGCACACTGGCACGTGCAGGCCGCCAGCGCGGTAGCAGCCCGACGTGCGAATCAGAGCTGAATTCGAATCTCCTCGTCCGTTTCCCAGTTGAGGGGTCCTGGGCAAATCACAAACTCTCTTAAGGCTCAGTATCCTCGTCTGTGAAACGGGAATGATGATAATAATGGTGGCCCCTCACATTTCGGTTTGGTAACCGGGAGAAAGCTTCTGTCCCAAAACCCGCCCCGTCACTGCCTTCTCTCCATCACCATCGCCCAGTGCAAAGCTTGGAGCTGATGGCTACTGTTTGCAGAGTTCTGGTCTTGTCTCTCACATCCCACTGGCTGTGTGAACTTGGCCAAGTCATTACCCTGCACTGGGCCTCAGCTTTTTCTTATCTTTAAGGAGGCCGGGTGACAAATTTGAGAATGGCTAAGGTGAGTTCAAGGAACCCTGGTGGTGTGTGCTGATGTGTTTAACTGCTAACCAATGGTCGCAGTTTGAACCCACCAGCCATTCTACAGGTGAAGTGGCAGTCTGTTCCTGTGAGGATTGCAGCCTTGGAGACCCTATAGGGCAGTGGGTGGGAGTGGGTTTGGTTTTGGTAACTGGTTGGATGGTGCTGGGATTCACCCATTTATTTCTCAAACATTATGCCATGCATTGAGCCAGAATAATGGTAGCATGGTGCCTAAGGCACTTGACTGCTAACCAGAAGGCTGGCAGTTCAAACCCACCAGCCACTCCTCGGAAGGAATATGGGACAATCTACTTCCGTAGTGATACTGCCTCAGAAACCCAAGGAGGGGTCACTATGAGTCAGAGTCCACTCGATGGTAGGGAGTCTGTTAAGGAGCTCTGGTGGTGTAGTGCCTGAGGCATTTGACTGCTAACCAGAAGGCTGGAGGTTCAAACCCACTAGCCACTCCTCAGAAGGAAAATTGGGCAATCTACTTCCTTAGAGATACCACCTTGGAAACCCAGGGAGGGGTCACTATGAGTTGGATCCAACTCGACGGCAGTGAGTTTTTATTATTATTATTATTATTATTATTATTTGTTTTTTTAGTGGGAGAGATATGGAAGAAACAGATAAATAGTAAAAAATAATAATAACTGAATGTGATAATTGTTAAGAAGGAAACAGATGTTAA